ATAAATTAGGAAAAATCAAGCTATATATGGGCAGCAAAGCACTCAAATATGTATAAATACAGGTTTATTTGCAGCTGAAAGTCATTTAAAATTGTGTAACGGTAATAATATGATGCATGTAAAAGAACATCCAATCAAAGACGTGGATTTATATAGAAAACTTTACGCATCAAATAATCATGCATTCCTAATCCAATATTAGAATATAATAAAACTAATAAATAAAATTGTATAAAATTTGTCTTAAAAGAATATAAAAAAAAAAACAATCATTAAATTATAGATGTGCATATGGACGAATTGAATGCAGTCTCATCATCTTTTTTGGATTGAAAAACAGGAAATTTTGTCACCTGATCAGCATATGATTCGATTCCCGACCGATTTCTACATTCTTACGACTGTGAAAATTAATAAGCCTCGATTAATTTTATTCTTACTACATTTTTTCCGTTATTACTTCATTTCTCCTACCATTACCAACCTTTATGCAATACTTTTCAATTTCTTCCCATTACTGTGTTTTTACCGTTCATTACATTACTTTCACGACAATTTCGCTTTATGTACCTCATAGTCTGTTGAATTACTTCAAGTTTGTTATATGTACGTTATAGATGAGAGTGTATTTAAAGAATGACTTCGCTGGAGGTTAAAGGATGATTTTATATTACGTAACACATAACATAATATACACATAATCTGTACATAACGCTTATTTAATCGTTATATACGTGCTTTAAAAGCCTGAATTAACAAGTAAATGCTAAATTAAACCTGCATTATATCATATTGCACACAACCCAAAACAAGCTAAATTAGGGTAAAATTTCAAACGCCTTATGGGCTACTATTGGGATAAATAGCCGATAATAATAAGGACCCACTTCTTAATGTTCATGGTCTAGAACTAAAGTTCAGCAACAAGGGTTGATAAGTCTCTTCCCGAGACCGTGACAACGGCTGATCTAAAAAAGGAAATTATTATAATATAAATTAATTATACGTAATATACACGACTTTATCATATTTCAAGTGATCTGCAAATGCCCATATGGTTAAAAAAAAATTTCTGTCAGAAAATTATTACTTAACGACTTACATAAACAATTTTCTATTTATAAATTTTCAATGGTTCAGAACTTATAAACAAGCGGATAGAAAGGTAGATTAACCAAAACAGTAAAAAGAGCTTCTGATGCACAGTACGTATTTATAATTAAAAAGTTTCTAGATGGAAGTTGACTGACGTTACCTAATATTGTGCCACTCGATAGTAATGCAAAAATTTTAAAATAACAACAGACACTCACGTTCAAACTGTTAATTATAATTTTTGATTTTCTCGTATTTAAAAGTTAAATGAATTCGTTATACCATAAAAAATCGACTAATTTAGACCCTTATGAACTTGGATACAATTATCAACATGGGATAGGGGTTGAAAAAGATGAACATAAGGCATTCCTCTATTATCAAAAATCAGCAGAAATGGGTGATGCTAATGGAACAATTAGTATTGGAAATTGTTATCGAGATGGAATCGGTGTTGAAAAGGATGAAAATAAAGCATTCATTAACTATCAGAAATCTGCAGATATGGGGCATGCTACAGGAACATATAATGTTGGAACTTGTTATCAACATGGAATTGGAGTTGAAAAGGATGAACATAAAGCATTTACTTATTATAGAAAATCAGAAGAGATGGGGCATGCTAAAGGAACATATATGGTTGGATATTGTTATGATGAAGGAATTGGAGTTGAAAAGGATGGACATAAAGCATTCATTTATTATCAAAGATCTTCAGATATGGGTCACGCCAGTGGAACATTAGCTGTTGGATATTGTTATCGAAGTGGAATTAGAGTTGAAAAGGATGAAAAGAAATCATTTGAATATTTTAAAAAAGCTGTTAATATGGGCCATGTTAGAGGAGTTTTATATGTTGCAGACTGTTATCGAAATGGAATCGGTGTTTCAAGAGATATACAACGAGCTAACCATTGGTATAGAATGGAAAGAGAAGTAAAAAAGAGAAGATTATCTTATGAAAACATTGATGATAATTTAAAAAAACTATTAAATGATGAAAAATATAAATTATCATGGATTTCTTATAATGAATTTAAAAATATACAAGAGATAGGAAAAGGTGGATTCGCTACCGTATATTATGCATATTGGCACGATAAAAATACAAGTTCTTGGATACCTATTGCACTTAAATTGATTCATGGTTCAAAAGAATGTAATCATGAATTTGTCAATGAGGTAATATTAATACAGTATAATTAAGAATTTGTTATTAAAGCAATATTAACATTTGTTTTTATTTTATAAAATTTTATTTAATTAATAATACTGTAGTTGAAAAAATATTGTGAGATCAGATACGAAAATCCATCCTTCTTAAGATGTTATGGAATATCAAGAGATGATACCTCTAAAGATTATATAATCGTTATGGATTATGCGAGTAAGGGCTCATTACGTCAAAATCTTTGTTCTGTGGCAAAAATGGAATGGAAAGATAAGTTGGATTTGTTATATTGTATTGCATCAGATCTTGAATCGATCCATTCTCAAGAATTAATTCATCGAGATTTACATTCTGGAAATATCTTGCAAAATCGAAATTTAAATAATGCGTACATTACAGATTTGGGAGTTTCGACATCGTCTGATGTGGAACAAAATGGTGAAATTAAGGGAGTTATGCCATACTTAGCACCTGAAGTTCTAATGGGTAACCATTTTACACAAGCGGCTGATATATATAGCTTTGGAGTCATAATGTCTGAAATATCAACAGGAAGAAGAGTATTTGACGGTGAATCTTTTAATATTGATCTTGCGCTAGAAATTTGTCTGGGAAAAAGACCAGAATTTGAAGAGGGGACACCTGATTTTTATGTTAAATTGGCTAAGAGATGCATGGACCAGGATCAGAATAATCGACCCATAGCAACTGTTATTGCTCACAAAATTGGTCATTGGCTTGACGAGATGAAACAGAATGATGATAATGAAATCAAAAATCAATTCTCGAAAGTCAGTAAAATTAAATTTAATATAGAAGCATTAAAACATCCGAATAGCATGTACACCAGCAAACTCATCAACACACGAGAGATAACGTGCAGATTATCAGATTCAGATTGTATTCTGAAAATTTTTTTATGATCTATAAATTAGTATTAATATGTTCACATTTTTTGCCTAGTGCAGTGCCATTAACGACGCAGGTAATACAGATATGTCAAGTACAGAAGTATTGTATGAAAAGCATGCTATCATATAATTACCAGTCGAAGAGCAAGCACCACGTATTTATCATGATTATTTTACAACGAAGGTATATGGGTCGTTGTCAAAAGACAACCTGAATTTTCATTTTTATCTTACTGGATTTAGCAATTTATTGTGGTTTATTTACATGAAAAAAAACTTTGAAGAAGTTAATATTTATAAGAATTGACTACAAAAGTATAAATAAAAAAAAAAGTATTAACCGCTTTAAGAGACATTTGCATGGCAATTCCAAAATTTGATGTGACGACTAATAAGCTTTAATTTATAATGTATTATATGTTTTATATGTCTTAAATGAATGAAATATTTTCTTTGACTTTTGCTAAGAAGCACCTTTGGTGCTTTACGCCTATGTATATATTATCTCATTGATCAGTGCAAGATGTCCTAAGTAAAAATGCTCTACGCTCCTGAAAACCCTATTCAAAACTTAGAAAAAATCAAAAAAAAACATAATTAAATATATGCTAAGTGCAAAATCACCATAAGTACGTTTTGTAATTAATGTTTTCTTCCAAGAATTTGCGTTTGGAATCTTACAAATAACTCGTCATAATGATCTGCTCTATTAGTAAAACTTTTTAAAATTTCATTATATCGAAATTTTATCAGTAAATTCACCATGTCGATGAATTTATATGGAGTGATTTTTAGCCTTCAAAATATTGATACTCACTATTATGAGAATGGCTTGGATTATATGGTATTGTATGAAAATATCAGAAGCTACGAAATACAGTATGTCAAATTTTTTTTGGGACGCTTGAAGAACAAGGAACAGTGAGTATGACTGCGTAATTTGTTTACCAGCACTAACAAATTGGCCTAAACTATATTATCACCAAATTCTAACACTTAGGGTTGTTAGGTTTAAAATTTAAAAATACGTATATACCGGTAAATACAAACTAGTTAAGATATCGGTATACCAGAATATTGTGATTGAAATATTGGCTAGCCAGCAATTCAGTTATAATTCTATATATATAGCAACCCGATTATAAGAATAATTTTACTCCGGAGCACTCCATACATGGAGCAACCCGGTGTGAAACCGGAAACGTGACCTGACGCAGGCACGTGCCCCGTGACCTCGGATATTTCCAAATTGGGGTTTACCGGCCAGAAATCAGAAACGGCAGAAATTATAGAAACAGCAGAAATTACAGAAATGGCAGAAACGGCGATTTTGGGATTATTTGTGATTTTGGCAATAAGGCCGTTCCTGTCAATAAGGACATTTTGGGGTTATAGACAGCTTTTGTAGATAGAATCTTCATTATAAATAAAGGCCTTTGGCCCTTGGGAAAGAACAAGTTCCCACCTTTGCTTTTATTAACTC